TCCAGTTGTCAATCATTCTTGTTGCCATAATCTTGGTTTTTTTGATGTTTAGCTGCAACCCGGCCTTTGCGCCCTCTTCTCTCACCTTGATTAGAAGGCTCCTCAGATCCTCCTCGCTTTCGGCCATCAGAGTGGTGTCATCTGCATATCTGAGGTTGTTAATGTTTCTTCCAGCAATTTTTACCCCAGCTTTGCATTCATCCAGCCCCGCACATCGCATGATGTTTTCTGCATACAAGTTAAAAAGGTTGGGTGAGAGTATGCAGCCTTGCCGTACGCCTTTCCCAATCTTGAACCAGTCTATTGTTCCGTGGTCAGTTCTGACTGTTGCTACTTGGTCCTTGTACAGATTCCTCAGGAGAGAGACAAGGTGGCTTGGGATGCCCATCCCACTAAGAACTTGCCACAATTTATTATGATCCACACAGTCAAAGGCTTTAGAATAGTCAATGAAGCAGAAGTAGATGTTTTTCTGAAACTCCCTGCCTTTCTCCATTATCCAGCGGATATTGGCAGTCTGGTCTCTCATTCCTCTGCCTTTTCAGGTTTGTGTGTATTGGATATTTGTGCCAAATTTGGTCCAGTGAATACATCAGATCTTTTTATTACAATTGATAACAGTAGCAAAATTACAGTTTAAAGTAGCAATGAAAATGATTTTATGTTTGGGGGTCACCGCAACATGAGGAACTGTATTAAGGGGTCGCGGCATTAGGAAGATTGAGAAACACTGGCTTATATCATAAAAACTAGAGCCAATATACATTTTTAAATGTCATTTTCGTTTTCAGCACCCCAAAATCATGAAAGAACAACTATTTACAGGCACGCAACTTTTTCTCCGTTGAACAGTGTTATCAATGCTCTTTTGTTTTGTTTTTGAGTGATGTTGAATGACATATGTTAATGTTTCCCCCTTCTTCTTAGTACCCCCCTCCCCCTTGTTATATTTTTAAAGAGTTGAATAGATCTATATTCCCATTTGTGGGAAATTATAGTGTTACTGCGTTCTAATAAAGGAAACAGAAGGGAGAAAAATTGCCGTGATCCAAGAAGAACTGTAGTTAATCCATACGGTTTTTATACAGTTATTGTGACAAAAATGGATTGAACAGGTACCGTGGATACAGGAATGCATAAATGAAATGCATCCCACTGGAAAAGCTTTTTACTCACATTGTCATTTACAGCTCCTGAATTAATAGACCAAGAAAGGCACCAGAGGCACCAACAAAATGCAGTAAAACCATCGGCAGCCAGTGGTGTCTCAAAGTTTAATTCCCCTGGGGAGAAAAGGACACTGCCTAATCTGTATTCAGTCCTGACATTGTCCACATCTGATATGGAACATTAGCTACTAACTCTCTCAATAGACTAGTGTCCTTCAGTTTATATTACTTTATGTTAATAGTAGAAAAATTGCACACAACATCATTTATCATTGTTATACTGCACTATACATCCCATAGCTTATTTTAATATATCTATTTACACATAAGATACAGAAAATCATTTTTTAAACCAATGTATTTCAAGACAAATACGAAACGAGAGACTTGGTGGGAACACATACGCTGTGACAGTCATGTCAATACAAACACTGAAACACGGAAGCTTTCCGAGTTTCCT